TTTGGATGAACATGCTGAATTACATGTACTGGTGTATCATTTGATTCAAGTTAGTCAACGGCACGTATGCTAGATCGGGCTAATACGGTGGATGGGGAATGTGGAATTGACTAGATGTGTTGTGATAATGAAAGAGCACCTTCTTCAGAACCTTTCCTTTTAGAAACTGATGCCTTTAACTTATTTACGTGTGAATATGTTAAAGAAGGAACATAGCTAAAATAAGCTTAGAATAGCTTTAGAATCCATAATTTCAAACAGTTCCAAGATTGGGCTACTAGTTCAAAAGTTACAGCCCTTTGAATTTTCTTTCGAAATTGGTTTCTTTTCTAGTCTATAACTTTTTATTGAGAAGTCAAATCGAAAAAGTACGAATTGTTTTGGATTCTACGCACCAAAATTAATAAGAAAAAGTGTTTTCCCGAGAAATTTTGGTGCAGTCGATTTTTGGTAAAAAAGGAAGGTTATACACTGCCTTTTTTTGAGCCCCGAAAAAAAAATTGTCTCAGATCGACCCGGAAAAACAATTTTCTTATAGAATGTGGCCTGTAGAATCCATAATTTCAAACAGTTCCAAGATTGGGCTACTAGTTCAAAAGTTACAGCCCTTTGAATTTTTTTTCGAAATTGGTTTCTAGTCTATAACTTTTGATTGAGAAGTCTGATCGAAAAAGTACGAATTGTTTTGGATTCTACGCACCAAAATTAATAAGAAAAAGTGTTTTCCCGAGAAATTTTGGTGCAGTCGATTTTTGGTAAAAAAGGAAGGTTGTACACTGCCTTTTTTTGAGGCCCTCAAGAAAAAATTGCTCAGATCGACCCGGAAAAAATTTTTCTTATAGAATGTGGCCTGTAGAATCCATAATTTCAAACAGTTCCAAGATTGGGCTACTAGTTCAAAAGTTACAGCCCTTTGAATTTTCTTTTGAAATTGGTTTCTAGTCTATAACTTTTGATTGAGAAGTCTGATCGAAAAAGTACGAATTGTTTTGGATTCTACGCTCCAAAATTAATAAGAAAAAGTGTTTTCCCGAGAAATTTTGGTGTAGTCGATTTTTGGTAAAAAAGGAAGGTTATACACTGCCTTTTGTTGAGCCCAGAAAAAGAAATTGTCTCAAATCGACCAGGAAAAAAAAATTTCTTATAGAATGTGGGCTGTAGAAT